GTTTTAAAATGAAAACTCCAGGAAGTAACCCCATTTGTCCCTAAACTCTGCTCCCCTCCCCTATGTGTGTGTGCTTGTGTGTGTATATACGTACATACATACATATATATATATATATATATATATACACACACACACACACATATATATATGCCCGGTCAAGTTGTTCAACGTTGTAATAAGTTTTCTGAGTTCAAAATCTGTTTTAGTCCTCTAACCACATGTTCACTAAGTCACTTAACCATTTCAGCCTTTGCTTTCTTCTCTGTAAAATGAGAAGTTTGTCCTAACTGGTATCCAGGTCTCCCCAGACCCTTCCCTTAAAGTCTATATACTGTGATTGAAAAGTGTTCTTAATATATCAATTCTTTCCTCAGAAAGTAAGATTATTTAAAATGATATGGTGCTTATGTGATTCAAAAGAGCTAGTACATTTCTAAAAGTGTTTAGTAATTCCCAGTGACAAAGTCACACTGGAGAATTTAAATAGCTGTGTCAGAATTTGAATATTCCTTGACCTAAGATACAATGAAACTTAGAGATCTGCACATAAGAGCCATGATTTATGGGGGCCCGAGGAAGGGGCAGCCATGTTTGGACCAATGATCTTGCCTCCTCCTCTTCTTTTATAGCTCATTGGACCAGGGGTGAGGACACCTGATCCCAGGCTAGCCCATTCAGTGGGTGGCCTGTCTCTGCTTCAAAATGATGAGCTGGACCATCTGGTGATCTTGGCATTCTGAACTCAGAAGTTCTAAGACAGAGAGGGAGTTAGGAGCAGATTCAGAACCTGAAAGGATGTACTGGGAACTCCTGTGAAGGAAGAGAAGTGTCCAGGCCATAGTTCTGTGTGGGCAGAAGCCAGAGAGGGACAGAGGTACCAACAGAGGAAGGAGAGAGGCTGGAGCAGCTCCTGAGACACAAGGGGTGGCCTTAGGTCCCGAGAGTTCTCCAGGCCCAAAATGTAGATCACAGAAATCTTCCTGTTAAATCTCCTTTTACCTGAGCCAGCTGGAATGAGTCTCTGGTCCTTACTATTAAAACCACCACACTAAATTGATCGCTCCACGAAAATCCCACCAAGGATCGCTTATAAGCTCCATGAGAGCAGGGGCCACTTCTAAATTATTCACCACCCTGTCCCCAGTACCTATCAGAGTGACAGGCATAGGCTAGATTAGGAAATATTTGTTGAGTTAATAAGTGTACTCTTTGATCAGTCACCTGATAATTATTGAATAATTTTTAGATTTTAGTTCTTCTACTGTTAGCATAGATATATCTAAAACCATATTGTATGTGGCTATAAGATGACTGTATTCTTAAAGACTGCAAAAAAAGTTTACAGTCAATATTGATAAAGCTAACCTTCATAGGCTGCCTTTTAATTTTATTGCTTATCTAGGCGAAAAGGTTTATGAAAATAGGACTTTAATGAAGTTTGGATTTTCTGGGTGCCATCCTTAGAATTGATTTGTAGGTTAAAGGAATCTGCTTTTTTTCTGGTTACATTATTATTATATTTGTAAGTAGACAAATCCTGACCCTCATATATACAGATGGCAGTATTGGTTTCTCCGTCTATTTCTGAGTTATTCTGTTGATGGATTTGTGCTGGCCATTCACTGTGGTTTTTTCCTTGTCTCTTATGTGACCAGAAATAATGTTTCTGAGGGAGAAGTAAATAGGGTTAGGAAATGCTGTCTGTGGTCAAGCAAACAAGTAAAGCAAAGCTAATTCTTCAGATCGGAATATACTGTTCTACAGCCACAGGCAAAGGAATTGATCCTGGAGAATCAAGCTAATTAGCTGGATCCATGGATGTGGACCTATCATTAATCATTCATTTGACCTGGGATATACATTGTTTACAAGGGAGACCTTCGAATATCAAGGATAACATTGTTTCCAAGTTCCTTTATGGAAAATGATGTATTATTTGAGATGATCTATAGAAAATAAAGTTAGCTAACATGCGTGACTAAAAGCCAAAAACCTAGTTGGAACAACTATCAAACATGCTTATAGATCATTTAAGATTTTACTGTCATTCTGCTGGAGAAAGATTTAAAATCAAATGGATATAAACAAAACAGAGACAGTGCAAAGAGGATTGTAAGTGAAAGTAGGTTGAGTTCTAAGGTTTCTTGAACTATGTAGACTCTTATTTTTATGTAGTATGCAAGTATTTTCAGCTGGAACACCTAACAATATCAGTAATTATTGTGTACCTTTGTGTACTAGCTGTCACGCACACTACTACTCCTTGCAGTAAACCTGGAACTTACTCTCTGTAACTGCCAGTGTTATTTTCTCTATTTTGGATTTGAGCAACTTACCCATGATTATACAGCAAACAAAGACCAGTTACAGTTATAATCTACATATTAATTCTCATTACTGTATAATTTTCACTCAGTTGCACTGTCTTTCACTTACAGTTGAGGGAAAGAAAATAGATAGGTTGTGGGTTCTTCTGTCCTCTTTTCAAAGCTAAACGTGTCTAGAAGGGGAAAAAAAAAAGAAATTTCAGGATTAATAGCTGAATATATTTGAATTCAAAAGCAAAATGTTAACCTTGAATTGCATCGTAGCTGCCCACAGAGAAGGCCTGAGGGTTTTAATAGATTGACTCTAAAGTAGGAGGAGACTGTGAGAAGCTCTGCTGTGCTCAGATCCGTGGTTACCTTCAGTGATTCCAACTTAGAATCATCCTTTGTGGAAAGAAATGAAATCCATTGGGAATGCCAGTAACTGAATCAACACTTGGGTAATTATTTAGGTTAACGTTCATTAACAGTCTTAAGGAGCTGCCATTTGATCAGGGGCTGTAAAAGTCATGCTTGCAAGTTGACATCTCAGATTGAAAGGATAATCATTGACTGAATCAGTCTTCTAAATGCACAGATATAAAAATGGAAAACAGCTGCCACTCTTTGGTTTGGAAGGAAAATAAAAACAATACACAAAGAGTGAGAAATGGTTGAAGGGAATTGGGTGGGCATGCTCTACCTATAAAAGATTAGGCTTCAGATACAAATGAAAAACGGGAGTGGCATGGCGATGGCGTTAAATATGTGAGAAGGGCTGACACTTATTCCATGGAACTCCAGAAGTTGAATCTAGGACCACTGGGTGGAATGTACAAGGAGGCCAACTTGTGGTGAAAATGGAGTGAGCTGCTTTGGGAGATAATCAGGGTCTTAATATATTTGAAGCATCCACATAGACACTAAATGACCACCATTCAGATTGTTCTGGGAAGGCACACGGGCACCCGAGTAGCAGAAAGCACTGGACTCCCCAGATCTCTCGGCTACAACATTCATTTCTACGTCCTGATGCTCCTGAGTCCTTAAATCCTTTGCTATTCTTGCTGTATTTTGTTTTAACTTTTTTAAAATTTATTTTATTGAAGGGTAGCTGATTTACAATGTTGTATCAATTTCTGCTATACAGCAAAGTGATTCAGTTATACATTCTTTTTCATATTCTTTTCCATTATGGTTAATCACAGGATATTGAATGTAGTTCCCTGCGCTATACGGTAGGACCTTGTTTTTTATCCATTCTATATATAATGGTTTTATTTTTGCTGTACTTTGAATCTGGGCAGTTAGTATGATTTATATGATCCTCCTCTCTCTCCCTGAATTATTTTCTTCTGTATTGTTTTGGAGGATATAAAGGTGACACTTTATGCTAGGCTGCCTTTAGATAGCGCATGCTTCATTTGGTTCTGTGAATTTTATTGTTGCTAGTTCAGATTCTTCTTATTGTTGCACTTTGTGGAAATACTCTTTTAAAACACTGGGTAGCAAAAGAGTGATGATTCTGCTTCGTGGTTTCAGATTTTGGATTGGGAAAAAAATTACACTTTTTGCTTCATAGCCATATAAATTCATGGATAAATATTTTTAGTGTTAGACCCACTGTCCTGTGTACCTAACAATAGGCTAAGAAAATAACTACTTGGAAATGCCATTGAAAACGCTACTCATGTTCCTATTGGTTTGCAAATGCTTACGGGTCTTACTTGAAGGTGTACACTATAAAGTCAGTGATTGCTGTCTCAATGCCACAAGGTCAACATCTCTGGACCCCAGAGTAGGTAGTAGTAGTTAATAAAAAGCTCAGCAGTATTTTTTTCAGACCAAGTCATCATGCTGTACTCTATAATTTTATTCTTGGAAGCATAGAGAGTGTTTACAATATGGTGTCTTTCTAGGATCAGAATAGTGAAAAAAATATATGGAAAAATGTCCAAACATCTTTGCATGGCAATCATGGCATTACTGGTGTGTTTAATAAAACCTTTATTGGTACATTTTCCGGTATGGTGGCATTGGCAGAAACGGTCCCCCTTTGGATTTGGAACTCAGCAGCTGATGGAAGACAGTAAACATTAATTTGGAATGGGCTGCCAGTTTTGGAAAGCCAGGTGACATTTTATTATACTTGTACCGAGCAGGGGCTATGTCCCATACTGCTGTAGCTTCCGCTGTCAGTGGCTTAGCTGGCATTATGGAAAAAAAAAAATGGCAGGCCTGAGAATCTTATCCCCTGAAATGAAAGTTGAATGCCAAATTGAAATTCCTGTAGGATTTCCGATAGCAATGGGGGAATTGAGGAGACCACAATTAAGCATATGGGCATTAAGATAATTGTCAGATCTGTTGGCGGACATGATAGAAGACAGATGGGTACGAATCAGTGCACTCCACTGCAGCACCCTGGGAGACAATTTGACGTTTTACCTGCCTGAGCTACTCTGCCATATTTGTCACTGGATGTACAGCACAGCATCTTACTGAGTGTTAAAGTGTTTTTTGCTGGGTACTCTAGGTGCGTGCGTGGTCCTTTAGCGCCCTCTAGTGAAATGCGTTTGGGAGTATTGTTTTTCAAAGGTTAGTCTCCCTTCATTGGGTCCTTGCTGCCCTGGAAGTAGCCGTCACACCTCTGATTCCCACTAAACTCTGCGGTTCCTCTTGCCCTTTCAGGTTGGGGCCCATCGTGAAGATGGCGTGGCCCTGAGGGGCAGCCATTCTCTTGTCCCAAACCAGGTGCCAGTTCCACAGCTTCCTGTCCAGTCTGCAACGTCCCCTGATTTGAACCCACCCCAGGACCCCTACAGAGGTAGGTCCGCCTCCGCGGGCGCGTCTGACCTCACTGAAACAGTAGATCCCGTGTGGATCCCATGCTTACTCATTCATCCCTCAGGAAGCACTGGCAGATCACCAAGAATCCATTTTGATACAAAGATGGTAAGTAAATGGGAAAGGATTTCAAACATCGCTGGCTAATTGTGTTTCTTCAGTAACTGTTTTGCTCCAGCATGCTCGGAAATCCTGCTCCTATTTCAGCAGGGAATGAGACCACAGACTGATGAGAGGAAATGTGATTTTAGCTATTTCCACATTGTACTCATTCAGATCCTTTAATGTGGTTAGTTGTAGCCTGACAGTGATGTTTCCAAATGAAGAGGAAGGAAGGAAATGGTTTTTGTTGCTTACGATGGAAGGAAATGTAGGTACATTTCAAACATGGAACTGGGATGATTTTCGCTCTTGAGTCATCAAGCCCACGGGGGCTCCTTATTGCCTCGTACCACTGACTCCTTTCGGCTTCCCAGGACCCCAGGTAGCTGTGCCACAGGGGCAAGACCTGGGTCCCAGGGTCCTTGTGCGACTGGCTGGCCAGGTGACCCGAAAATGCTTACGTAACATCTCCTCCTTCCCCTCATGTTGAGAATAAAAATGATAACAGTGGCACAAGAATGAATAATATGTATAAGCATTTGCCCACCTGTTAAGCATTGTAAGAATCTTGGGCATGAATTATATATGTGGGTATGCCTGTCATTTTTAATTGAATAGTAATACTTTGATGGCCCTTTCTTTTTTTTGTTTTTGTTTTTGTTTTTGTTTGGCTGTACGCGGGCCTCTCACTGTTGTGGCCTCTCCCGTTGTGGAGCACAGGCTCCGGACACGCAGGCTCAGTGGCCATGGCTCACGGGCCCGGCCGCTCCGCGGCATGTGGGATCTTCCCAGACCGGGGCACGAACCCGTGTCCCCTGCATGGGCATGCGGACTCTCAACCACTGCGCCACCAGGGAAGCCCCTGATGGCCCTTTCTTTTAAAGAGCCTTTGGGTTTTCTTTCTCTGTCCTAGATCAACACTTCTTAATGTGCACAAACATGACTTGAGGATCTTGTTAAAATGCCAATTCTGATTCAGTTGATCTGGGGTCCTGCATTTCTTTTTTTTTTTTTTTTTTTTTTTTTTTTGCGGTACACGGGCCTCTCACTGCTGTGGCCTCTCCCGTTGCAGAGCACAGGCTCCGGACGCACAGGCTCAGCGGCCATGGCTCACGGGCCCAGCCACTCCGCGGCATGTGGGATCCTCCCGGACTGGGGCACGAACCCATGTCCCCTGCATCGGCAGTTGGATTCTCAACCGGCGCAGCCCCTGGGGTCCTGCATGTCTAATGGGCTCCCAGGGGATAACGATGCTCCCGGTCCACTGACCAGAGTTTGAGTGATAAAGTTCTAGACTCTACAGATTACAAATAGAAGGAAACACTAAATAGACACATTTCTACCTTAGAAATAAATGATTACATTAGGGTCACGTTTTTAAATATATTGTGATCTTGGAAAGTTGAGCAGTAATAGAGCTAGAAATGTCTTCATTGAGCAGTAACTGCTTTCCATATATACCATTTTTAAATGCTGATTACTCCTTGAGGATAAGAGAAGCCTAATTTCAGAATATCATTAGGGTATCTATTGAAGTCATGACTGTACATATTTAGCATACTCCCTGGGAATTATATTTTAAGGACATTTTTCTATTAAATCATTGCATATGGAAGAAACTCAATATAATAGCTGATATTTACTTGGGTTCTTAATCAGAACATTGAGGTGTGTGATTTTCATGATTATGATTTTCATTGCAATTAAGTTGATGTTTTGTAGACAGTGAAATTACCGTCTACTCCAAAAGATTGCAAAATAGAATTTAACCTCAGAGCCAATGCAGGGAAAACTTGTTTCTGCAGGTGCATTTTTGAAACTTCACCAAAGACCATGAAAAAAGTGACAGATCACACAGCTCGGCAGTCTGAACTGCATAGCTGGCAGCTCTCCAGTCTGAGGTGTGCGTGTCTGTGCCTCGAGGCTTTGGTGGCCATGTCACCTGGTCTCTTTTTTTTCTGCAGGCATGCCACCAGGATTGCAGGGCCAGAGTGTCTCCTCCGGCAGCTCTGAGATCAAATCCGACGACGAGGGCGATGAAAACCTGCAAGACACGAAATCTTCCGAGGACAAGAAATTAGATGACGACAAGAAGGATATCAAATCCATTACTAGGTCAAGATCTAGGTAACAGTATATAATACTGTCGCTTCATTTAATTCCTTTATTGGACTTTGATGAAGTGAACAGAACAGGAAGAAACTATTCAGTTTTTTCCTGGCAGGTAAATCTGCAGCTGAAAAGAAAGTGAAAGGCTTGCTCTAGAGGTACGAAAGTATCGTTTAAGATACCTGTACTCTAGGAAAGCCAAAAATGTCTTTGCATTTATGAATTTGGACCCAGTGCTAATAATGGCACGCGGCAAAAACAATTTGTAACTGATTCAAATGCAAGCAGTCGATTTGTAAAACTATACTTACTCTACAAATTTGGTCGTAAATGTTCTTTGGAAAATTTCTAAAAAGAGAGCTTAGCTCTATTGAAAGCTCAATCGATGTATGTGCAACGGTAACTTTTTTCTTACCTCAAAAGTGAGAAAGTACTGATTTCCCAGCTTTATTCTAAACATGTTGGTATGTATAAGAGCAATACCTAAATTGCTCATTTTTTTTTCTCTCAGCAGAAAATGCAACTGCAGGAAAATAGCTTCTGGTTGGTTTTCTAAAGTCCCCGATATCTTTAAACTAGAATCTATCTCCTTGAACTTTAATCTGATAATCAGATGGGTTTTGTTGTGTTTTTTTTTTTTGAGTATCGTGACACCCATATTCTTTACCTCAGTTCCCTTGGATGGTTTTTATTTGCAAACTAAATGAATTGTACTAAGACGATGCCTCCCTTTTCAAGGCTATCGTTCTCAAGGTTATATCTGGCATCCTTTAGGAATTAAGGACATGCCGCCTTTTCATATTGCCTTTATAGTTATTGAGATAAATCTTATTACAAGTTCGACCACAGTTTCAGAAATTCTGGAAGCGTCTACCTTACCCCTTTTCACCGTTGCTACAGAGTGTCCTGACTTGGCCACATTGGTAAGACATCCGAAGAAGGGCCTTTCACATCCTTACCAGCTTCTCTGTTAGATCAGTCAGCTCTTGGTAATTTAACTAGCGGTCATAATGCATATGCATATCAATGGATTCTTTGACGTTTCAGTACAACATTTTAACTCGCTGTTAAGAACCTTGTTTTAAAAGGTCACTGTTTTGACATTTACTTAGGCCCCCAAAACCGTGTTGTAAGGCGAGACTTTCCAAATCTAGGCAGTTGTCTTTGCATAACCAATTTATTTATAAGAGGTTAACCAATTCTCATTCATTATTGGCCTGAGTACCCTTGGAAAACAAATTCCCATTTTCAGGCCCACTTTGGAAAAGGTGTGGCATATGTTTGATGCATAAAAACATTACCCAGATTTTTAACTTCAGGATGGGATGAGCAGAAACTCAACTCTGTTCTCTTTTCACTTATTATTTGTGTGTCAGAATGTGGGTGTGAATTAATAGTAATCTTGATTTCCTTGGCATCAGCAGAGGTCACGGGTGGGAGAGAGCAGGACCGGCAAGGAAATGAGGGGGAGAGTCAGATGGCGGAGAAAGAGAGCACTTTCCGATGGGTTCAGTTTAGTTGCGCGTTCACCAGCACGCATTCGAGGCAGACAGTCCCATCTGGAAGGCAGTTTAACCTACAGGAAAGACGAGCCAAGTCTTACAGCATCTTTCTTTGGTGTCTGCCTCCTTTATAAGTGTTCTTGGCTTACTTACGTCACCTTTATGAGCAGCATGTGCCGCAACCCAAGAATCCGCTCCATTTCTGATTGATTGGGGCTTCTCCATCGTAGTGGATCCTTAGTGCGTTCTGGAAGTTACCCAGACATTCTCCACAGTGGAGACTTGGAGCTATACATTTTAAGCCAGTACTCACTAAGTGTGCGTTGAATTGAGTAGATAACTTCCCACGTGTTCCTCCAGCTCTGGAAGGTTGTGATTAACATATTTATTCTGTGAGCCTTTCAGATTCATGGAACTTTAGAGTAGAGGCTCACCTTGATGGTCTTTGGGGTCAGTGCTCAGATCCCTAGGTTAACATCCTTACGGATGGCCACCTCGATATTGTTTCTTGCAGTGAAGACTCTCTTGCTTTGGAGTGAAGTTTACTTCATTTTTTATATCTCTCATACTCAAAAAAGGTTCTTGCTCATGTTCATTCAGACTATTCCGCTCAGGGTTCTTTGCTCTGTTCTGTTCTGCCTTCCTGAGACATTTTCCACACCTCTCTCTTTTACGTGATTGCCCAGGAATTATTTGAAGCCTTGACGCCATGAGATCTTCCCGATATGACATGCTTTCCAGGTGGCTCATCATCCTATCTGCCCCCCATTCAAAAGTTTCTAATTTGTCAGCATGACACCCAGAAACAGAAGTTATCTTCCCTTTCCAGACTCCTGGCTCCAACCATGCCTTTGATATGAATCATGTAATATCTCTGTTCTTATAATCAGGGATGAGCTTTTGGGCCTCATTTTTGACTCACAATGAGATCATGGGTATTGATAACCAGTAAGTGTTTGGGTTGGGTTGGGTTGGGTTGGGTTTGCCTAGAACTCATGTCAACTCAGGTTTCCCCAACTTGTCTGGGGAATCATAAACATCCATAAAGTTAAAGGCCATGGAGATGATGTTTCTCTAACCTTTCTATTTAATACATGGCAAAAGCGAGACTCAGATACATTAAGTGGACTGACCAAGCCTTCCAAGCTGGTTAATAGACAGCAGGCCCCCGTGTTCACTGCCATTGCTCTGTTGTCTTGAATGTAGGACCTTCTTAATCCTGTTTGAGCTGCATCATCTTAATTTTGACCTATCCAAATCATTTTTCAATCCCTGGTTCTCCTTGGGTTTCGGATGTCACGGTATGAAAGTTTTTTTAAAAAAAGAACAGCTTCAGTCTAAAATGCTTTCTGAATCGTGGTCCTGAAGTGTAGCTCGAGCTGAAGTTGACAGCACTCTGCCATGCGTAACCTTAGGGATGGAAGCTATGTCTTCCTTTTTGCTCCCCTCCATCCATATGGTGCACTCGGGGCCCCAACTTGAACCTCTCGTGTTGGGTTTGGGTTTCATGTCCAGGAGACATCAAACGTCTGGCGTAGGGACTGTCACAGCCACCTAAAGCAACGCCAAGCCCAGGTGGATGGAAAATTCTGCCAAGGACAAGATCCTGAGATGGAAGAGTTCCCTGAAAACTCAGAAAGAAAACAAAAGGAGTTTAGAAACTGTCTTTTTCCCCACCCCATTGGAAAATGTCACGTTTTCCCTTTCGTCCCGCAGCAATAACGATGACGAAGACCTGACGCCGGAGCAAAAGGCGGAGCGAGAGAAGGAGAGGAGGATGGCTAACAACGCCCGGGAGCGCCTGCGGGTCCGTGACATCAACGAGGCGTTCAAGGAGCTGGGCCGCATGGTGCAGCTGCACCTCAAGAGTGACAAGCCCCAGACCAAGCTTCTGATCCTCCACCAGGCCGTGGCTGTCATCCTCAGCCTGGAGCAGCAAGTCCGAGGTCAGTGCCGGCCGGCTGGCCTCCACGCAGAGGTCACGGGCGCACGCCGCTAGAGAGAGCAGAAATGCTCCGGCGGCCTTGAGCAGGGGCAGAGAGTAGACTCTTAGGCATCCTTCAGAATCACTGCTTCAATCTCATCTAAATCTATGAGGCAGCTCCCCTTTCTCCTATAACTGAATCCTGGGATTGTTCTCGTAACTGATGCTGCCTTAGGGCGCTTCCATAGGTCCTCTCAGTAACCGGAGCTGGGGACGTTTGCTTTACCAGCTTTCTCAGGCTGTAAAGTGGCTGCACAGTTTCACCAGGGAGTTCGACCTTTACTAGCCACTGAGTGAATGAATGACAGTCGTGCGCATTTTCCTAACTGGTCCTCTTGTTCTGGAAGGTAGAAACTGAGAGAAAGGATCAACAGACCCACAGAAACGTTGCAGGACTGCCCTGGACCAGAAGCCCTGGGGGTGACCTAAATGCTCTGTGCTTTCCTCTTCCACAGAAAGGAATCTGAATCCGAAAGCTGCATGTCTGAAAAGAAGGGAAGAGGAGAAGGTGTCCTCGGAGCCGCCCCCGCTCTCCTTGGCGGGGCCTCACCCCGGCATGGGAGACGCGTCCAATCACATGGGACAGATGTAAAAGGGCAAGTTTGTTTTCAGCCATTTCTGAAAGCTTTCCTTTGTTACTCTTACCAAGGCATCAGCCGTGAAAGCCATATTTGACCCAAATGCACAGATTTTTTTTTCCCCCTTGGGAAGAAAAAAACAACTTTAAAAATAAAAGCTCTCCTTTTTTCTGTTATAAACGTATTAATTCATCTTTCTCTCTTCTTTCTCAGGTCCAAGTTGCCACATTGCTTCATTAATACAAGAGACCACTTCCTTAACAGCTGTATTATCTTAAACCCACATAAACACTTGTCCTTAACCCCTTTTTTTGTAATATAAGACAAGTCTGAGTAGTTATGAATCGCAGACGCAAGAGGTTTCAGCATTCCCAATGATCAAAAAACCGAAAAACAAACAAAAAAAAAAAAGAAAGAAGAAAAGTGCAACTTGGGGGATGACTCTCTTTAACATATCATTCAGAATGTTCAAAGCAGTATGTGCAGGCTGAGACGCAGCCCAGAGACTGAATGGCAATCTTTCCACACTGTGGAACAATGCATTTGTGCCTAAACTTCTTTTGGAAAAAAAAAAAATATATAATTAATTTGTAAGTCTGAAAAAAAAATATTTAATTTAAAAAAATTGTAAACTTGCAATAATGAAAAAGTGTACTTCTGAAGAAAACTACATGACCATTTTTTGTTGGTATTCAAGTCAGCTAGTGTTTATAATTACCGGATATCGAATAAGGGAAGCTCGGCTGCCCTCGTAACAAAACCAGCAAACATCCTGATGACAGCGAAGTGATGACATTAGCCATTCCTTAGGGTAGGAGGAACAGATGGATCTTATAGACCTATGACAAATATATATATAAATATATATATAAATATATATTAAAAATTTAGTGACTATGGTAAGCTTTTGTTCATTTGTTTCAGACTTTTTTCTCCTGTAAAAAAATAGTACTGATTAACTTTTTTAAAAAAGATAAGTCATGTCAGGACATAATTTATGTTTTTTTTTCTTTTTCCCCCCCTCCGCCTAGGTGTTTTTTTTTTTTTTTTTTTTTTTTTTTTGGTCTTATTTCTGTCCCTTTCCCCCGTTTGTTCTCATAACCTGTAGTGCCAACTCTGCTTCCAGAGGGGTAGTGCAGGATGAATTGCCGACCCTCATGTTGCTTTTCATTCATAAATAAGTAGAAAGTTGTTTCTTCAGTCTTTTGGGAACACAGGACTTAAAAGTCACATCATGTGTAGATATTAACAAGCAGCATTACCAAGACATGGCAAAAAGAGTTTGTCTGAATTGTAATGTTGCGTTTGTGACCCTCTTCTGGGATTTTCAGAGGTACAAGGTTAGAATGCTACAATGTTACCACTGTGCCTTCCAATGTTTATATCATCGGAAACATAACATAATCAAAGTGGCTGTGATTTAACAAAATGATTAAAGCGTTACCTACATGTGTAGCCAGAAGTAGTGTGCAGTGAGGTGTTTCTGAATACATGGTCAGATTTTTGGAAAAAAACAAAAACAAAAAAAAACAAGTGAAGTTCAACGACCATCCAATGAGAAAATTGCAAGTAGTGTGACAGAGCTGATTGATTTTGTTGCTTTCTTGATTTTTTTTTCAAAATGGGTTTACTAAGATGCAGATGACTTAACTGTCTCCTCCTTCGTCTGAAAAAAAAAAAATGCCAATATTCAATCATCATGCAGCGTTATAACAAGCCTTATAAGTCCTAAAGCATTAAGTTGCACTTTCTTGAGGAGGGGTAGTGCAGTATTTCTCTGGCCAGTATGAATGAAGTTTATACTTAACGTATTTGATAGAAACATAGATCAAGCTATGGCACAGCAACTCATCAGATAGCTAGCTTTGACGTCTGGGCACAACTGAACCAACTTCCATCGTGAATCTTTATAATGATTGACTTTGGTGTATAGTGCAGTAAAGAAATAGTGCTCCTAGTTAAGTATTTGTCAGCATCCTTTTGTCTCTAACTCATTTCTGTTTTTACAGCCACACAATCTTGGCATGTATTAAGAAAAAAAAAAAAAATCCCTTGTTCAAGTAGTTTTTCCACCTATCAGCACTGAGTAAATGCCATAAACCCATCAAAATGGTCTAAATGTTCCATCTGTTCTCCTGTTTTGCCAGTTATATAGTAATGAAATACATTTGTAAATTTTATGCAACAAATGGCAAACGTATCATTATTTTGAAATTGTGTATGTAAAAGTTATATTTTTACATGTAGACTCTTGTTATTATGTGTTTTAATACATTGTATCGGTTTTTGTTCCTTTTTTTATTTTTAAACGGTGTGGTTTAAAAACCGTCTCATTGAAATGAAATAGTGAGCTACAAGAATCTGAATTTAATGTTCATTTCTGAAAATGTAAGAACAAATAAGATAGTTACCACGTGGTCATCTTTTACAAACCCATAAACATTTTGATTAGCTGTGTGTGTGTTGAAAACTGTAAATATGTTCAGTAGTGATAAAACTAAAATACTTTGTTTGATTTGTTGATAAGTTCCTAAAATGTGGAGGTGGATTAAAACCTTAGAATAGCAGAAATCAGACTTCATGAAAAGTTATTTTGAGGCTACCCTGTGAAAATGAATGAACAAAGGGGCTCAAAGAAGGGCATGGAAGACAATATTGTATACTCTCCCCTCCTCCTGAATAATGGAAACTGTGTGTACTTGTACCCTCAGTATGTTGAAGATTTCCTTTTAGTGGTACATTCTGCACTCATTTTGTATACTCTATCAAGGCGGGTATCCCTAGGAACAATATTATATAAGAAGCAGGTATCCTCTGATCACATTCAGGATAAGTGTATAGAAGAAAATATGGTGTTTACTCTTTAGGGAACTGGAAACACTCCCTGCATTGATGTACATTTTAAGATTGGCACTTTTGATACACGTTATCATCAAGGTGCTTTCATAGAGCTGATTTAAAGTTTTTCAAATCTGTAAACAAAGCAAAAAACAATTAAATCGTAGTTCTTGGATTATTTTTTAAATTGGTGCTTTATATTTTGTTCTCAGTCAAACAGAGTAAAAGCTGC